GGGGACACAGGGGAGATAGAGAACAGCGTGTAGGAGGGTTAGGGGTGATCTTTCTGGAGAAAATGTGAGAGGCAAGAGTGGGGACTGGCAATGTGGTGACAATGGACTCAGACAGGAGGCCCTGTAAGGCCATTGTGACCCTCAGCCCCCATCTGAGAGTGGCAGGCCCTTGAGGGGTCCTTCCTGTCCACCAGGAGCACTTCCCTGAGAGGGCACAGCTGTGAGCTGACAGGACCCAGCACGGGGGGTGGGGATGGGTGAGTCCTGAGGAGGGGATGCAGGAGGATCCTTAGTGTCCCCTGTACGGGTTTGCTGTGTTCAGAACCCAGGCTTCCAGGACATCCCAGGGCTACCTGAGCTTGGGTGAGGTGGGTAGTTCGGGGAATAAATCCAGGAGAGGTGACCAATGAGAGGCCCAGTGACCATTACAAGGATAATTAGTGTTCATTACCATGGGATGTGTGTCCTGGTCTGTGTGTCCTTCCACTTATGCTTTTGTCTGTGACTCACATGCAGGCCTTGGAAGCAGCAGGTCAGTCCTGTCCTGTGAGACTGAATCCACTGCTGTCCCACCCTCTGCACAGCTGCCTGAGGCTGAGGAGGCGGCCACCTGAGGATCTGAGGTCTGGGGACCTGGGCCAGACCTGCTCATGGCTTTGTCTCTGGTCCTATTTGTGTCAAAAGTGAGTGTCACACAGATGGGGAAGGTGGTTTTTGTCTCACTTCCCCGTTGGCCTGTGTCACTGTGGCATTACCACTGCTGTACCCTGTTACACAGTAATAGTCAGCCTCATCCTCAGACTGGAGGTTGGAGATGGTCAAGTAGCGGTCCGCCCCAGAGCTGGAGCCTGAGAACCGGTCGGGGATCCCGTCCCCCTTGCTGTGGCTTCCACTACTGCTAAGATACATCAAATACCGAGGGGCCTTCCCTGGCTGCTGCTGGTACCATGCAATGGTGTAGCTGCTGTGCTCACTGCTGAGGGTGCAGGTGAGCTTGGCCGAGGCTCCCGGGGAGGCAGAAGCAGACGGGGGCTGGGTCAGCACAGGATCAGCACAGAGACCTGCAGACACAAAACACAGGGATGATGCCCAATGCACTCAGACTGGACAGATGCCCAGTGGAACTGTCCTTGGAGGGAAGCTGGCTCCCTGTGTGTCCAGGGATGCACTGACCTGTGGAGAAAACCAAGGGCAGGAGGTAGAAGGGAGCCCAGTCCATGACGAGAGAGGCTTCCAGGAGCTCTGCCCTGTGGCTGCCCAGCTGGCACTGGCCTGTCTAAGCTCCTGTCTTATCCTCTGTCCTTGCAGCTCAAGAGGGAGGAGCATTGAATGCAAATCTGTTCACTGTTGCTCAGCTTGTCTGTCTCAGCCAGAGTCTGATCCCTGAGCCTAACAGCTTCTTGCCTGTGATTTCCTGAGGTCAGAAAAAGGTCCAGGTGTTGGTTTCATTGGTAAGAATTGATTTTACACAATAGACCTGTCTTCAAAGTAATCTCAGTCATGCCCTTGGCACTTGAGCACAGCCAAGGGCACCTAACCAGAAAGTTTCCCAATCGAGAATCCACAGTGCCCCCTGCTGTGCACAGGATGAAATCATCCTACATGTGTAGCTAGTTCATCAGATGGATATTTCTAAGAACTTAAAGGATGGTTAACCTTGGTGAGGGTTTTATACTCAACCCTCACCTGACGTCAAAATAACCTGACATCAGAATAACCCCACAACGTCCCTGAGCTGAAGGTCCAGCCCCTCCTCCTGTCTCATGAGCTGGGGGCTGTCATTGAGAGGTTATGATTTTCCTAGAGTCCCCCAGACAGTGAAGAGGAATCAAGACTTGAATCCAGGAGGCCGACCCAGAGCATGAGTGTTAGGTCCTCTCCTTGCTTCACCCCTCTCTGGGCCGCGTGTCCCTGCGGCCCCCACCCCAGGACCCCTGTTACCACTCTCTTTTCTTTTCACAGGGTGCCGTACCCCAGGAGTCTGCTATGAAGAGCACTCAGGTCCTCACCTGAGCTTCCCAGTGACACGTGGGACTGTCTGTGGGAAACTTGGGGACCCTCCCACAGCTCCCTCCCTGGCAGAGGGCACAGGGTCCCATGTCAAAGGGGCATTGGCATCAGGGGACTGGACAGAGTTCATTTCAGGCTGGGTCTCTAACAGTTTATGTCAGGGTTGTTTTCTCACATGGTCAGAGCCATTGAGTTTCCATAAGTGTCAGTGTTGGGAGAGAAGCCTTTTAAGTTTATAAAACTGTAAAATTTTACATTTTCAAGACAGCACTTTTGTTACCTGATGTCCCAAACAAATACATAAGCTGTCCCCCTGGTGGTGCTGAGGGTGCAGTGAAGTGAGTTCATGTACAAAATGCTGGAGGCCTTGCCCTTGGAGGGGACTGTGCAGCCCTGTGGTGACTCATGTGCGCAGACAGACAGACCTCTGACTCACTCCTCAGAGATGGTCTGAGGGACAGTGGAGAGGGGACCAGGGTCTGGTGTCTGAGACACGCCTCCCACTGTCCGCAGCTGAGGGGACCACAGCAGCTACTCTCTGCCCCCCCACCCCAAGGTGTCCACTCCTCACACTCACATCTCAGGGACCCATGGGACCCACTGGCCAGTGCTCACACCTGTGCCGTGGTCTCCTGACCACCTGGGAGGTCACCTGTGAGTGCCATCCTGGGAGATTTCACCACCTTCAAACCATGATCCGCACCTGTGAGGTAGGGAATTATATTCCTTTGTGGAGAATAACAAGTGAACATATTTGGCCAGTATTTCCTTAAATAATTTGTATACATTCCACCAAACCTTTCTGCTTTAAAGATTGAAATCACACTCATATGAAGCACCCTCCCTGTCGTCCAGCACAGTGACACTTCTGTGTGTGTCTTCAGTGAGGTTTTGTGTCTGTGTCTCACGTCCTCTCTGCAGTTCCTCCTCCACGTCATCTGTCCCTCTCTTTTCTCTGCGCAGATGAACCTGCTGTCAGTCACATCACGGGTCATTGTGTCTCAGACGCTGTAGTTTCCACGTCTGTGTGGTGACTTGGCTGTGGTGTTTGTCCTCCTGGTCTGCAATTACCGCGTCCAGTCATTCTCCCACACCCCGGAACACATGGAGTGCAAATTTCCTTAAAATCCTTGAGTAAACTATTCAATCATCTCTGAAATTTCATTCTTTTTCATGAGGGAGATTGAAATTTCATGAAGGAGAGCAGGTCTCTGTGCTGCACAGACGGTGCCTTCCTCTGGTGACTGTCCCTGAGCTGTGATGGCAGGTGGACAGGAGTGAAGCCACTCTCAGGGTGGTGCTAGGAGGGACAGTCACACAGGCACGTTCCAGGCCCACCCTGACCTGCTGCAGCTGCATCTTAGTCCGTCCCAGGGGACCTGTGTGTTCTGGCCTCAGTCACCATGGAAACTCTCACTTCCTCCTGCTGTGTCCCCAGCTGCTTCCTAGGCCACCGGGATATTGGTGCTGAACTGTCCTGCCCTCCCAGACTGAGGTTCATTCAGGTGCTGGACCTTGTCATGTTGTGGAGAAAAGTGTTTTATACAGACATGTGGGGGTGTTTGGAGAGAAGGTGGGGTCCCTTTCTCTCCTTGGTCTTTATTATTTTCTGCCCCATTTTGAATAGTTGACTGACTATCTCATCCCATTCATTTTAATCCCCAATATTACAGCTCTTATACCCAGGTTTCCAATCTTGATTTTTGGCCTCTGTGTCTTCTCTTGCTGTGTCAAATCATACGTCCTCCCTTATGATCAGAGGAAATACCGTTACAGTCACATTTTCAGTGTCCTAGTCCCCAAACTGGGTAATTGCAAGGCCCTTTGGGATAAAATGGTTTTACATGCATAACAGTCCTGTTTTCCTGATTATACACAGGAAAGTCTGACAGGGTGTCAGGCAACAGGACTGATTCTTGTTGGATCTGGAACACGTGTGTGTCCCCCTGTGTCCGTGATTCCCACTTGGGGTTCAGTGACTTACCTGGTGACAGGTCCGTCCTATGTCTACCTGCTCTTACTGACACTTTCTGAGATGCCACCAGTGCAGACCTTGGTTGGGGACTAAGTTCCCCACTGTGGGACATAGATCCTCTGACTGGTCCACCTGATGCTAAGCTGGGAACTTTCCCCTGACTGGGCACAAGCACTGCAGGCTGGTGTGCTGACCTGTGACCGTCCCCTCCCATGCCCTTGGGTGGCTCCCTCCTCAGCCTCAGCTGGTTTCCTCCCACATGTGCTCACCCATCTCAGGGGAACACTTGCAGACACCCAGAGTGTCACCTCTGTGGGACCCTCTCCTCTCCCACATGCTCCCCCTGGGCTGTTATTTCCTCTCTGGGGCCCTGGACACTCCCTCTGACAAGGAGAACCTACTCAGGGGATGTCAGGGGGTCTCTCTGGAGGGAAGCTCAGAGGCAAGACCTGGGAACTGCAAAGTGGTGGCAGCAGGAGACTCAGGTGCGGGCCGTTACGTCCTTGTGACCTGAGGCAGGGCCTGGATCTTGGCATCAGGTGGTCACAAATGTGAGTCACACTCAGGGAATGGAATGACCCTGAGGGAGGCAATTCTCTGCCCCGTGGGAACTTCCCAGTGAGGGCACAGCCGTGGTCACCGGGGCTCCAGCAGGGGTGCTGGGTGTGCAGATGCTGGTTGGCCCCAGTCAGAGTCCTGGGTGGCCACGGAGCCTGGGGCCTGTGGAGCTCAGCTGAGCTGGGAGGTTCTAGGGATTAATTCCTAAAGTTTTTCCAAAGAGAGACCCTGTCTCCACGGTGTAGATATTGAAGGGCCATTACTTGTGTACACAGGACCCCAGGAGGCTGTCTTTTTGTCAGTTGCTTCTCCAGGAACTTACACAGAAGCACAGACACAGCAGGCAGCCTGGTCCTGCCTCCCTGAATGCAGCCTGACCCACCCTCTGCACAGCTCCCTGAGGCTGGGAGGAGGGGCCACTTAGAGATCTGAGAAATGGGACCTGGGCCAAAGCTGCTCATGGCTTTGTCTGCAGTCCCCCTGCAGCTTGAGAGAGTGTGACTCCGAGTGAGGTTTTTGTCTCACTTCCCCGTCTGTCTGTGTCCCTGTGAGCATCACCACTGCTATCCCACACCTGACAGTAGTAGTCAGCCTCATCCTGGGCCTGGGCCCCGCTGATGGTCAGGGTGGCCGTGTTCCCTGAGTTGGCACCTGAGAATCGCTCAGGGATCCCTGAGGGCCGTTCTTGTTCATCGTAGATGACCAGCACAGGGGCCTGGCTGGGCTTCTGCTGGTACCAGTGAGCACTTTTACTACCAATGTTGTCTCCCCCACAGGTGATCCTGGCCGTCTGTCCCGGCTGCACCGACACTGAGGACGGCTGTGTCAGCTCGTAGGAGGACACAGAGCCTGCAAGAGAGGAAAGGACGGTGGGTTTAAGGATGAAGGACCCCTTCCCAGGAGACTCTCGCCTGCCCTTCTTGGACACCTCTACAGGGACTCTCTGGGCCATCAGTCTCAGCCCTAGTAGCCCAGGGGTCCAGCTGACCCATGAAGCCTGTGAGGAAATGAAGACCCTCCTGTCCCTTGCTCCTGGCAGGTATAGTCACTCTGGCTCACTCAGAGACAGTGAGCACAGTGTAGGGTACTGAACCCCATCCCCTTATCCTGGAGCAGACCCAGGGGCATCTGAAGCCCACAGGGAGTTCCCTGCTCAGGTCTGAGTCAGAATCAGGCTTTTCCAGATCCCTGGGGTTGGAGGTGAGTGGGAGGCTGGGAGCAGCACCTGTGCAGTGAGCCAGGAGGCCGAGGAGGAGAGGGGTCCAGGCCATGGTGGAGGTGCCCCGCTTCTGCTCCCTGAGGCCCCAGGCTGGGCAGCCTTCCTCCCAGGCCTCTCTTATCCCCTTGCTGGAGGGAGAGCTGCTGGGTATGCAAATCAGCCAGGGCTCAGGGGAGCTGCCTGAGGAGCTGGGTGGTTCCTGATGGGGGTTCAGCCTGGGAGACACTGGGAAGGGACAATGGGCCATAGAGTCCCACAGTCATTCCCAGGGGATTCTGCTTCATCCCCTGGTGCCACAGTGTGGGGCTGACACCTCTACCCCAGACTGTCTCATGGCCTCACTACTTGTCAGACCTGACCACAGCCAAGCTCAGAGGTCACATCTGTCTGCATGTTCTGTACCCTCTAGAGAGTGTTAACTGCAGTGGTGACAGTATGAGCCTGAGGTCTGAGCAGGGTCCCACCCCAGTGACTGTGTGTGAGCATCGGAGCCTGAATGTCATTCCCACCTCGTTCAGGGCACATTTCGCACTTTGAAACCAGAGATGCTGGAAGTTTCTAACTCAGTTCCACCTCCTGGGACAGGTCACGAATGCTGTGCCTCATTGTCCCCACTGTGTGCTAGTGCCAGGTCAGCCCCAGTGCTTGGAAAGGTGTGACAGTTACAGAGTCGTAGCAGGAATGGGGTGGGCTGGACAGGAATCAATTTTCTGGACCTGGGACAGGTAAACAGGGCAATTCTACAAGAACCAACTTTGAGAGATTCCGAGTCAGAATGTTACTTCAGCTGTGTCAAAGTCAATATTGTAGAAAACCTACCACTCTTTTTAAAGATGTGGTGTGGTTCTTAACATTCCCCTTGTTTTACCACAGTTAATTTTTAATAAGTGGACAGATAGTTCCAAAACATACATTATAATGATCCCCCTGCAGGGTAGATTTCCTCCTGCCCAGGCCCTCCCAGTCTGCAGGAGGCTCTGCCAGGTGGTCTCTGCTGCCCCCTGGTGGCCTCCTCACACTGGCCTCGGGGGAGCAGGTGTGTGCTGTGCAGGTGCAGAGTCTGAACCTAATGTTCTCAGGTGATGACTTCCTGATCCAGGGACTGCTGGTCCTAGCGGGGATTGCTGTTCTCTCCATAACCACTGCTGGCCTCCGGACCAGGCACCAGCAGCTCAGACCACCCACAAAAGTATGAACTGGCTCATAGCAGGGAGGAGGGGGGGCGGGTCTGAAGCATCTCTACATATCCCTGAAGTGGCAGTGTTCCTGGATGTCCTTCTGCATACAGAGGATTCAGAGGCTGCCTCTCACTGATGCCACCGCTAGTGCAGGTTGCAAACAGGGCTCTGGTGGCAATTGCCCCAAAGACTGAGACAGGAGACGCTCACCCAGCAAACACTGATTCAGCCCCAGTGTGTCTGCCAGACACTGCGTCCTGGGTGAGACGTGTGAATGGGACCAGTCCTGCCTCACAGATGCCAGTGTGCTCATGGGAGCACACAGTGGACACGCTGGTGTGGGTGACACAGCACAGTCACCATCACCTACTTCCTGTATGCCATCTTTTTGTTCCAAGCCAAACTGTATCCAGGTTTATTAAAGATACTTTCCGTGAACAATCCTGGGGTTTCAGGCAGGATGTGGACAGACAACCGTTAACTGTGCACAAGTCTCACCCTCTGTCCTCAGTGCACTGACCACCCAGAACGTCGCTGTGACCCCAGTGACGTCCTCGTCTGCTGCTCTGAACTGAGAGCATTTAGAGTGAGGGTCGATGTCTCACATTGGCATGTTGTTTAGCAGCTTTTCACAGGCCGACCCTGACTTTCAGGCATGGCCGTGAAGAAAGTGGGAAGGACTCGGGACCTCACAGGGTGGTGAGTGTCTGCGGACACCGGTCGGGCCCCAGACTTGTTGCTGCAGGAGGAAAAGGGGCTCCTGTCTGCCCACATCTCTTATTGTCCTGTGTATGTTTGAATTAAAGAATATCCTGACTAATGAGGGAAATAATAGCAGAAATCAATGAATCAATCAAGTAAGCAATCAATAAAAGTAATTACAGGGTAATAATTATGCAGCTGTTGTAGTACTCAGTTAATTAGTTGAGATCAGACAAGAATGGACAGGTGGGTCCTGTGTGGGGAGAGGCTGGAGGGGTCTCTCTGGAGGGGACCCTGGAGCTGCCATCAGGGTGGGAAGAGGGAGCAGGAGGAGGAAGTGAGTGTGGGGACAGCAGGGTCAGTGTCCTGGGGGGAGGGTGTGGTCTGTCTGAGCAGGAGGGACAGGAGAAACTAACCTGGTTGTGGTCCAAAGCCAGGTCGGCCCAATGTGACCTGAATCTGTCACACTAGGGAAACAGGGACAGGACTGACGTCACACTGAGGACACACCTGACCCAGGAATCAGAGCAGCTGAAGAAAAACCCAGGGGAAAGAGGAGCCGCGTCACTGTGGCCCTTGTCCTGTGTGAGTGAGGTAAGTGAGCAGGTGACCCACCAGGACACATGGGTGGCTGCTTCCCTTCTGGTTTGCACAGGAAGTCACACGGGACCTTCTCTCCTGATTCAGAAAATTCTGATAACACATCAGTCCTGAGGTTGAAGTTACGACCTTGTGAGAAATGTCACATTGAACCTGAACTAGGTGTCAGTGAGACACCTGAGTTTATCATGACAGGTTCCTCTTCCTCTCAAACCTTAGAGCTAACTTTGTCATAACTTTACTTTATCATATATTATAAACCACAACATACATTGTTATAGTGTGTTTGTATTAAACAGTTATATCTGTAGTGGAATTTAATAGGACGAAATGTTTCATAATTATCTATATAGTAACAATTTTTGACAGCGTTAATTTCTCTGTGCAGATTCCCATTTCTCTCTGTCTCAGGAATGTCCTCTGCTCCTTCTGGTTGAGAGCATCTGCAGCTGTCAGTTCTCTACGTTTCTGTACATTTGAGAAAGTTTCACTTTCCTTCCTTTGCTGAAAGATATTTTCTGGGGGTAAAGACTTGAAAGTGGACAGGTTTTGTTTTAGTTTTGTTGTTGCTGTTAGTTTTCTAGACACTCCGCCCCCCTCCCCCGTCCGAGTTGTTCCCAGAGAGACCTCTGTGCTGATCCCTCTGCTCCGTCCTCTCTGTGGACGGGATTCGTGTCTCTGAGGCTTTTGTGATTTTCTTGTTGACACTTGGTTTAGGAATTTGGTTGTGATGTGTGTTGATGTTTCCTGTGTGTTTTCTGTGCTTGGGTTTTGCTGAGGTTCTTGGATCTGTAAGATCTCAGTTTTCGCTGGAATTGGTACATTTTTGCCAAGAATTTCCTCAAATATTTTTTCTACCTCTCTCAAAACATCTCTGCTTCAAAGACTGTGATCACGTGGTTGTGCGGCTCCCTCAGTGCCCTCCAGCTCCTGACCTTTCTGTGCATTTATTCAGTGCGGTTTTGTGTCTGTCTCACGTCCTCTCTGCAGTTCCTCCTCCACGTCATCTGTCACTCTCTCCTCTGTGGAGATGAACCTGCTCTCAGTCACATTAAAGGTCATTGTGTCTCAGACGCGGTAATTTCAGCATCTATGTATTGACTCGGCTGTGGTTTTTGTCCTTGTTTGAAATGACCACGCTTACGCATTTTTCTACACACTGGAAGAAATGAAATACAAATTGACTTAATATCCCTGGCTACACATTCCACCATCTGTGAAATTTCATGGCCAGGATGACTGGTTGTTTTTGTTGCTTATCACAGGTGGTATTTTCTTGCTTCCAATCAGGAATATTTGATGTGCCACCGGACTTGGTGGATATTACCTTGTTGGTGAACAACACTTGTATTTACGTGTACATTTTGCCTGCTATTCTAGGTTATTGCAGATTCATTCCAGTTAATGCAAACAGTATGATCCTTCATCAGTTGTGCTCACATGTCCGTAGGTGGGACCACAGCAGTGAGGAGTCAGGTGCTAATTTCCGTCCTCGAGTTCTAGGTCTCTGACAGGCCCCTCTGGTGTCCTGATTGGAACTCGTTCTGACTGTGGGACAAGTGTGACTTCTGCCTGTGTTGTGAGCTTGGCAACTGGTCACTTGTGACTGTGTGGTTCTTGTTGGCCTCAGGAGGTTTTCTCACACTGTGTGTGTTACAGAACAGATCCTTGGGGGAGGATATACTATTATCAAACGAACTCTTCCTTTTCTGTGGGTCTCCCTGTACTAGGTTGGCCTTGCCTGCCACCAGGAAATCATAGCTCTCACTGTCAGAGATTAGTGAAAAGGAAACAAATTATTTATTCGAAGCAAACTGAGAGTAATGACTTAATGTCTTCACTGAGATCCCAAAGTCCCTTAGAATACCCACAAAGCCACAGTGCTTCCTTCCCCGTCTGCCTGGTCCAGGGCACCACATCTCAGACAAAGCAATAGAGGTCCGAGGATCGGGTAGCACCCGGTTTTTAAAAGTTTTCTGTGCTCGTGCTCAGCCGGCAGGCCTCCCTTGGTTCCCAGCACCATCAGCTGTGTCGCCAAAGTGATCTCCAGTTCTTATCCCAAACCCACATGGCACCTTCTCCTGGCCCACCAGCAAGAGTCCTTTCTCCCCATTCCTTCCACAGCGTCTCTCCTTCAGCTTCCACAGCGCTAAGAGAGAGCCCTGCATCGCTGCTGCATCTTGCTTTCCGGCTTCCTAAGCTGTGTGGCAACTTCTGGAGTCCCAAAGCTGCAGGGTCGAAACTTTTCCATGGCTGCTGGGCCTGGGTTTACTTCCAACTCCTCCCACGATCGGCTACACCTGCCAGCATTCCTGTATCTTTCTAGCTTTTCTGGGCTGCCACAGAAAGTCAGGGCAGGTGTGGCCCCATGGCGCAGAGCCAGTCACCTCCAAGCTCTCGTGCAGGTGCAGGCCCTATAACCAGGGGAGCTGCCTCCCGGTTACATCCTGGGCTGCAGTCACTCCCATCTCCCTGGCTCAATTCAAGGCCTCAGCCATTCAACATATCCACGAAACCAGTCACAGTTAGAGATGCGCTACATGACCATACCCGAGGTTGTTTTCAAAACTGTTGCTGTACAGAACAACTGTCATTGGCCCTGTTCCATGTGTCCCATCC